GACAGGAAACACTGAAGACAGACAGGAAGCTCTGAAGACAGACAGGATGTTTCTGAGAGTTTACGATGTGTTTGAGTTAAGAAAAGGATTGTTCTGTTATTTTCCTGTCCAGATCTGGTATTTATGTCCAAGCCTCTGTTACTGGCTGTAAACTGGCACCATGAGTCAGTGGTGGTTCCCAGTATGTATGAGGGGGAAGTACTTCCTGTTTGAGGGCAACATTTGTGCCAACACTAAAGGGTGAAGTCACACGAGAGGGACTCTGCTGTGATTTCCTGTAAGAACCTGTGATTTATGCCTCAGCTTCATTTAGATCTTCTGAGTGTGTGTTGAGAATGATGCGTCGAGGTTCCAGGTGTTCAACCAGAACCGGGCCAGATGGTTTGGACCCACCTTTCACACAGCACAGCTACATGACAACCATCAGGGGAGCTCGTGAGCCGACACACGGCCAGGTTCTGGAAAAGAAAAGAGCAAACAGGAAGTTGATCTCGCTGCTAACCAGTTCTAACGTGAGACAAACGACCTGATGGGATCGTTTATGATCTAAACCAACTGCTCCTGATCCTGCAGCTTGTGGAAGCTCCTTGAGCAGCGAGGTCACGGTTCTGTTGTGCAGATTTGGGTTTTGTGCACGTGTTCTGGAGTAAACTGGACTCGGGGCGTGATGCCGTACCTTGTCTTTGTCGGGATCAGAACCGGGGACCTCTTCCAGCGCTCTGAGGTCACAGCTCTGCAGACACTGGCCGGACTCGTAGTCCCACAGCTTCACGGTTCCATCCTGACAAACAGAACCACACGCAGAACCGTTTCAGCTGCGACACAGAACATTTGTTCTGCACTGAACTTTGTCTGGATTGAACAAAGTGGAGTGACGTTTCTGCTGGTTTCTAGAACTGGTTTAAAGCCTCGGACTCGGTGGTACAGTGGTTAAGTGTTCCCCACCTCCTCCTTGAACCTCCACCTCACTGTGGAGGAGTTTGAGCACCTGAATGATCCCAGGAGCTCTGCGGTCGCCCCTGGTAGGGTCTCCAGGGCAGACTGGTTCCAGGTGACAGTCCAAAGAGCGATCCAGAAGACTCTTATGGACAAACAAGAACAAGGAGCTCAGTGTCCCTTGCCCGGACGTGGGTTATCGGGGCCCCACCCTGGAGCCAGACCTCAGGGAGGGGCTTGTTGGCGAGCGCCTGGTGACCGGTCTCTACCCATGGGGCCCGGTCGGGCTCAGCCCGAAGGAACAACATGGGTGTGGCTTCCTGTGGACCACCATCTGCAGGAGGGGCCGTATGAGTCGGGTGCATGATGCCATGGACAGTGGCTGAAGGCGGGGGCCTTGATCTGACCCTGGTTTATGAACGCTGCTCTTGGGACATGGAATGTGACCTCTCTGGTGGGGGGGGGGGAGCCTGAGCTTGTGTGTGAGGTTGAGAGGTACCGACTAGATCTAGGTGGGCTCACCTGGATGCTCAGCATAGACTCTGGAACATCTCCTTGAGAGGGTCTGGACCTTATTCCACTCTGGAGTTGTCCATGGTGAGAGATACCGAGCTGGTGTGGGTCTACTCTTAGCCCCCCCCCCCGGCTGGAGTTTTCCCTGGTAGATGAGAGGGTGGCTTCCCTGTACCTTCAGGTGGGGGGTGGGGGTCTCTGACTGTTTGTGCCTAATGCAGTTCAGAGTATTCGGCCTTCTTGAAGTCCTTGGTGGGGGTGTTGGGAAGTGCACCAGCCGGGGACTCCTTTATTCTGCTGGGGGGCTTCAATGTCTACGTGGGTAAGGACAGTGTGACCTGGAGGGGCGTGACTGGGAGGAACTGATCTGGACCCGAGCGGTGTCCTGTTGTTGGACTTTTCTGTTTAGCTCATTTAAGCTACTGCTTTTAGCTGACAGGCGCTGAAACGAAGCAGCTAAAGGCACACGTACCCCTGATCCGGACAGCAGCCAGTGTGGATGGGTGGGGGGGATCTGCAGAGCGCTGACGAACCTGCGACAAACCAGAATCGTTACCCTCATCAGAAAATATGGACAAACATCTGTCAACAAACAGCTGGGGGCTCTGAAGGGGTGCAAAGAAACGCTCAGGAGTGAGCCATCGCCTGCTGCTGAGGATCTTTGACCACCCGACCTGCTCCTAGCTGGTCCCTGTTCTGGTCCAAAAGGACTGTGCAACAGAACTCTGACCACCAAACCTTTTTAAAACACATTTTTATTCCAAGATCAACTTAAAATAATAAAAATAAAGAACTGATCTTCAGTAACGAGAGGAAAGTGGATGGACGTCTCTGTAGACCGAGAGACAAAACCATCCACAAGAGCCAAGACACGAAGACGGAGGAGACACCTGTCCAACCGTCCCACCCCACCAGGTACTCACTGCTGATGTCCCAGGCAGAAGGACTGGATGTTGTACGGAGACCTGTGATGGCTCACCCTGATCTTCTCATCCACGTCAGCTGTGAGGATGAACCTGTCATCTGGTGACACGGCCTGAGAACAGAGGAGAGTCGAGACGGACGCTTAACGGAGGAGAAGAAGAAGAACAGAGGAG